CCTGAATCTGATGGCCTCCCAAAGTCATCTGCTGCCATAGTGTCCTAAAAATACAGAGAAAGAGCATTCATGCAAGGAAAACAAGTTTATTTACTTATAAGTGAACTTTTTAAGCTTTGCCTAACATGTACTAAATAGTACAGGAAACAGGAAAGGTGCCTCCCACCTCATGCTTTAACTCAACTGAGATGGAATAGGTTGGAAGCTCCCATAGCAATAATATTTTTTGGTTTCTCTTATCATCTCACTAGAGAGGATGCCATTTTCATTGTTTTTGTTCCATCTGTTCAAATTATATCGGCTTGTCTAAGACTCGAACTTGATATTAGTCCATAATGATCAAAGTCACATCATGATCCTATTAGTAAAGCAAATTCAATTTCAAAAGTTCCATGTTCTACCCAGAAGAATGGCCAAATGAGAGACAGGGAGAGAGACTTAGCAACAGTCCTAGCTGATTGAGAAGATGTCTTGCCCAACTCTAAAAAGAAGGCTTCTTTCCTCCGCTTCTGTATAACTGGAATTAGTTCCAAAACTAGACACGATCGTAATAATATTCATAAATAAGTAAGAAATGACGTGACAGTATATACGAGTTCATGTAAATATCAATATGTAATTCATATCAGAAACACAGAGGTAACTCAAACCAGGGACGGATCCAGCACCCAGCAAGCCGGCATGACCGCCCGTGTTGGATTCGTGGAAAATAATAATAATTAAGATTTATGAAAAAAAAATAAAATATATATATATATATGTTATTTTACAATCCTTATGGAAATGGTGTGTAGATCATTTGGAAGAAAAACGCCTTTCCGTGAGATATCTGGGTTTGATTCCCTTCAACAACATTCTATCTTTCAATTTTTAAACACGGTAAATAATAACTAAATATTGATTAATAAATGTACCAATGTTCAATAAAAGAAGTTTAGCTCATATGGTAGAAGGGTCTTTTTGTGCAATAGAGGTATGGGGTTAACTCTTTGCTTTTCTAATTTTTGTTTAATTTTTCAATACAATAAATAATAACTAAACAATTATATATTATTAGTTTTCGTTTTCAAAATCATTTCTTTAAAAAAATTATTGACTCAAATTATTACTCTATGATATATATACTTTTATTATTAGGTTTTATTAATCTCTATTATCTTAAAGAGGCAATCCACCATTTACTGTTCATTTATGAAACCTTTTTTATTCCCATTTTATCCATATCCATCTTCCACTATTTATTCATGAAGCTTTACAACAAAAGGAGAATATGGACTTTTCTCGTACCCACCATTGTTAACAGCTTGTTTGGTAGGGATTTTAATCGGATTAAAATTGAAATTTTGCCTTCTCTGGTCTTGATAAAATCATCCTAGTATCAGAATATGATTTTTTGAAATTACATTTAGAGTGTGTTTGGTAGAGATT